CGATTTATCAGAAACCGTTTAGGTACCCCCCTGTTCTCCAGGAAGAAATTAATTTGCAAGTACAAAAATTGATCGATAACAAAATTGTGAGGCCAAGTATTAGTCCTTACTCCTCTCAGGTATGGATCGTCCCGAAGCGCTTAGACGCAACCGGTCAGCGTAAATTTCGACTTGTTATCGATTATACGAAATTAAATTTTAAAACCATAGAGGACAAATACCCATTGCCCAGAATTGACGAAATTCTGGACAACCTTGGCAAATGCTCATTTTTTTCGACAATCGACCTCTCCCAAGGATTTCATCAAATTGCGATGGATCCTGAATCTATTGAGAAAACAGCCTTTACGGTAAATAATCAGCACCTCGAATATGTCCGGATGCCTTTTGGCTTGCGAAATGCTCCGGCGACATTTCAGCGCTTAATGGATGACGTTCTTCGTGACCAGTTGTATAAAAGTTGTATTGTCTACATGGACTATATTTTGGTATATTCCAAATCATTAGAACAGCACATTCAACACTTAGAACTCGTATTTAAAAAATTGAAAACCTATAATCTAAAGGTACAGCTAGATAAAACGGAATTTCTCCGCAAAGAGGTACTGTTCCTAGGTAACGTTATCACCGAACAAGGAATAAAACCCAATCCAGACAAAATAAAAGCAATCGTGGAATTTCCTATTCCAAAGACGACAAAACAAATTAGAGGGTTCTTAGGTCTCACTGTATTCTATCGAAAATTTATTAATTATTCTCGCATCGCGCAACCAATGACTAGGATGTTGAAGAAGGGTGCCATATTAGACACCACGAATAGGGAATATATTCAGGCATTTGAAAAATTAAAAAACTTAGTCACAAATTCGCCAGTTTTAATTTACCCTGATTTTTCGCAACATTTCAAACTGACAACCGATAGTAGTAGCGTAGCTATTGGTTCTGTCCTTTCCCGTGGCATTTTATTCTCGTACGTTGAAGAATGCCGAAAGGAACTATAGCGCAACGGAGAGGGAATTGCTTGCAATCGTAGATTCTGTAAAACACTTTCGCCCTTATCTGTATGGAAAAAAATTCGTAATTGAAACAGATTGCAAACCACTGACTTGGCTCTTTAATCTGAAAAACCCGGTATCCAGGCTAGCACGCTGGAAGGTCCGCCTCGAAGAATATGACTATGATATACTTTATAAAAAAAAATTGCGTCGCTGATGCCTTATCAAGGGCAGAACTTAACGCCGTGGATGACCAATTACACTGTACATCTAAGGAAAATCCTGAATACCTTCAGATTCCTTTAGTAAGAGCATGTCTTGAGAATAAGCGTGAAACTAACCAAACTTCTATACAAGGGGAAGTAGAACACTCTGATCAGTCATCTTCATACAATCCTTCTAGATCGGGAACGATGAACAATAATGATTACGAGCACCCTATTAATGTACTTCCTTTTTCAGAAAACCCACTGAATTATTTTAAATGTCAATTTGAGTTCAAAATTTTGGATAATTATAAAGTTACCAGAAAGGAGATTTTCAAAAATAAATACAGATTATATGTGACGCTTTCGCCCGATGGTTTACATTCTCAGATATCACAATCACCTATCGAGTATGTCGATCCAAAAAATACATATGTCATAATGAACCCTTGAAACCGATTATCACACAATTCTTACGCTCCCTGTTTGACCCCGAGGTTCATCTAATTTTTACAAATAAACTACTTTTAGATATCACCGACGAAGGGGAACAAACAAGATTAGTCCAAGAATATCACTCAAAAAATCATAACGGAATTCAAGAAACACTAAAGACGTTTCAACTAAGGTACTATTGGCCCAACATGAAAAATTCTATAAACGCATTAATCAATTCCTGCGAGATCTGCAATTTGGCTAAATACGATAGGAATCCTTACAAACCGCCGTATGAAGGGTCGCTAATTGCAAAATATCCGTTCGAAATTATTCACGTTGATACTTTCAAAATTAATAGCAACAAGTTTTTTATTTTGGATTTATTTTCTAAATATGGGCAGGCTTATCATATTACTGATGAGAATTCAATAACTTTGCTTGAAAAACTACGTAATTTTATCAGCCATCATGGAATTCCTGTAAATATAACATGTAATAACGGAGCCGGATTCACAGCAATTACTTTCAAAGAATTCTGCGAGTTACATAAAATCAAAATACATTTTACCACTCCTGTGAATCCTTCATCTAATTCTCCCGTTGAGAGGTTCCACAGTACCCTTAAAGAAAAATGAATTGCTTTAAGGCTTCAAAACCCGAAAACAGATATAAAGGAGCTCATCGTGACCGCGATTTTGAATTATAATCAAAGTGTCCATAGTTCAACGAATTTTTCTCCCCACTCACTTATCTATACTCCTTTCAACAGAACAAATGTAACAAATATTTAATTAAGTAAGGACTTATATGAACAATACAACCAAAAGCGTGTTGACGAGCTCAAACTATTATACCAGTCGGTAATGTAAGGAAAAAGCTGAAAAGGTTCTCCGAAAGAGAAACGAAAATCGCACTGAACGACCGTAAATTCCAAAAGAAACTACGGTTTTTGTCAAGTCCAGACAAAGGACTACGAAAATCAACCCCAGACAGGTGAAATCCAAAGTTAGAAATCAGAAAGGCAACCTTGCGGTTGCGGACTCTAAGCAAAAAGCCAGTTCGCACTAGAAGGAATTTGCGTCAGATTAAAAGAGTTAAAAAGGGTTTTTCTTCACAGGGCGACCCTATGGCCACAGAGTCTTCCGCTGAGGCTTCATCAAGTCCCAACCAATAAGGGTTTCTACCCGGAGCCGTTGGGGGAAGCAAAATTAATACGCCATTATCATACGTTTATTTTTAGCCATAATCTCAGCTTAATAGCTGATGTTATTAGACAGATAGAAGTTAGTTATAGTATTGTAGTAAACCGTTCTAATTATATCAACCTCAAACCGGTACTAGATAACCTATACAAAAATATTAATAATGTAAAAATGGAATATTTAAAATTATCACCTTATCATTCACACAGCAGAAGGCGTCGAGCAATTATTAACGGATTTGGCAGCATAATTATTTATGTGACAGGAAATTTAGATCAAGATGACCTTACAGAAATCAATGATAAATTTCAATCATTAAAGGACAAGGAAAACGAACTTATAATAGCCATCAATAATCAAAAATCATTCGCTCAGCTCATTTCACAAAAATTTGTGAACGATATGAAAGTAATTCAAAGCAATGTACGAGTACAATTGCTATCAGAAACTGTCAAGAAATCAATTTATGATTACGAATATGAAAGTTCGATTTTTAGACTATTTATTCCTGTACGAGAAATTTTAGATTATCTCAGACTGATCCAAGGCGCAATATCCTTATCACAGAAACAGATGACAAATGTAGTTAGTTTTAGTCTTAAGGAACTGACCCATATTGAAAATTACCTAAGGTCTATTTATTCGAAGAAAAATTTGGTTTTGTTAGATGAGACTCACCCTTTCGAAGTTCTTAGCCTGAGCAGAACTGGTGTTATTTATACCGATGATATCCTTCTATGTGCAGTTGAAATACCAATTCTAGATGCCACTAAGTATCAATTATCAAAGTTATATCCTTTATTGACCAGTAACACAATGTTAGTACTTTTTCAACATGAATATTTTCTGCACAATGAGGTATCGATTAAAAGTTGTCCCAATCAATGTAAAAAATTCATGAATCGATTTATTTGTGAATCTGCAACCAATCAAAAATGCACGCGACGATCAGTTGACCATTGTAATATTGTAAAGGCCAAGAATTCTTTAAGTTTATCATATTTGCTTGAGAATACTTCAGCAGTATTATTTTCGAGTAACATCAAGGTCACCGCTTTCGAAAAATGTGATGGCGAAATCAAACCTTTTTCTTTAATTGGTAACTATATTGTTAGGAGTAACTGCACACTGGTTATAAACGATATTTCATATTTCCTTCGTGACACTATTATCCCAGTAGAGGCCTTAGATTTTAACATTCCCAATCTTACATTGGGGCCAACGCACACGATAGATAGTTTCCACATTAATAGCAATGATTTTTCAGATATTAAGGAAAATTTGCACAAGATGAAAGAAATTATACTAGTTAAGTTTAAAAATTACCATTCTCATGTAAATAGCACTCATATAATAGGTGTATTTGTTGTTATATTGTTTGTGCTTGTGGTAAAACTAAAAAAGTTCTGTAAAGAGAAGAAATCATCTCGAAAGTCAAATCAGTCTATTGAGATCGATAAGAACGAGGATGTTCTAAGAGTTTAAGGGGGGAGGAGTTATATCCATCATCACCCAGTATTTTATATAATATTATAATTATTACCTGGTACTTGTATTTCTTGCTAGCATTGTCGCTACGCTATGGAATCTTATCTCGCGCCTTGAAGGTTACATGTTAACATCCTCTGTATCAGCATATTATATTTCTGCTTCATTGTACTAAATCCATGTGTGAGGAAATCTTGTCACTTCTTGTCTAACCGTCCTGTTTTACGCATCGTCGTGACAAGGTTTCACAAAAGTCCTTTTGTACCGTTATTCGAAATAAAGTTTTTTTTAAAAACAAGTATTTCGGTAGCAGTAATTTAACTTACAGATGCAGCTCGACGGGGCCGTGGACACTGGCAACCGCTGAATCGGCTCCCTTCCTCAGGGGCCGCTTGGAACTCTCACCACAGGGCAGGGCGTGGAAAAGTCGTCAGGTGAAGAAGACGAAGGTGGAAGAAGATGAAAATTGCTTACCTCTGTTGGAGTGTGGCCTAAAAATGTCGGCTAGAACGCCGTAAAAGCGTCGAAGACTCCCGTCTCCCAGATCCCCGTAGGATTACATGAGACGTACAAAGGAAGGACGCTTAGACTTTATTTGGCGTATAGATCCGCAAAATGTATGCTTCTCAACCGAGATACGACCAAAAAGTGAAGTCTCTTCAACTTGGACACGCAACACAAAGTTCCAGAGGAGCAATGGAACAACAGCGGACTGTTCCCGGACTGAAAGGGACCGAACACTTGTCAAAATGTAACATTGAGGTTAGGAAAGAAGACGTAAACAATTCTCGGATGAAGGGGCTTCAACTACAAAATGAGATAATAGGTGGAGACTTACGTATAAACCATAGAGAAAATCTTCAGGTAGTTAAACTAGAAATATGTCTACCCTTGTTTAGTGTTTACGATTATTGCAGGGTCACGGCAGTGCCTACAAGGTTTGTACAAAGTTTAGGGCTGATCCCACGGACCACGATAGCACCTAGGACTTAAGATTTTGAATCTAGTCTTGGTAACCGCTCACAGTGTACAAATTTCAGCTAATAAATCTTGAATTCTGAGGTAAGAGTATGATTTCAAATTAAACCCGTAACAAGACCTAATAGAATACGCAAGCCCATAGTAGGCAGACTGCACAGCTTGCAAGGGCAGGTGACAAGTTGGTACTCGTAGTGCATAGCATGCTTGATTGAGTTTTGAAGCCGTACTCTCAATGTGCGTATCAAACTTAAGACAGCTATCGTAGGTGACACCCAAGAGGTTCATTAATTAAGGGTAGTTCTTTGGTGGCATGGCTTGACTGAAATAGGACACAACACGTTTTCTGTATGTTGAGTATGGTTTATTTTTGTCTCTATCAAGATTCGGATATCAGACGTTCCTTTATATGGTATCAGAATAGTTATATCATCTGCATAGATGAAACTTATATTTTGCGTGTTTTTCGTGGTGGTGAATATATCATTAATATAAATAATTAACAATGTTGGGCCCAGTGTACTGCCTTGAGGAACACCAGTACTATATGTCCGAGGACTAGATTTTATTCATTTTCCGGTTTTGTTCAATTACTTTCTGTCTTGTATTACAGAGATAAGATTTAAGCCAGTAGTACGCATTCCCGCGTATACCATACTGATATAATTTGTTTAGCAATATTTCGTGATCAATGCAATCAAATGCTTTTGACAAGTCCACAAATAAACCACATGTTGCTCCTTGATTCTCTCGATATTCATGGATTGCTGTGGTGAAATCGAACAGTGCCGTGTTCACACCTGTACCTTTCATGAAGCCATGTTGGTTATTGGTGAAGTATTTATTTGAGTGGAAAAAATTAATTACACGGTTGTTATAAGCAATTTCAAAGATTTTTGAAAAATTTATGAGTAAGCACGGTAGTTGTCCATATCATAGGATCGCCTTTTTTATAGATTGTTAATACGAGTGCAATTTTTAATGCTTCTGTGAATTCTCCTTCACTAAGAGATGTATTTAGGATATTAAGAAGAGGGTCAGATATTATGGTTATCATTTTTTTAATGATGAAAATTGGGACGTTGTCACCACCACAACTTTTTATGTTTTTTAGGTTGCATACAATTCTGAGCAATTCGTCATGATCTATTGGAGTTAAAAATATTGTTTTATTTTTTAGTTCTAGGTTGCAGTCATAATTCAAATTTGGTAGTTTTGAGTGGAGTTTTGGAGCAGCTTCGACAAAACTTTTATTGAAATGGTTTGCTAAAGCATTTGCATCATTATGTACCGGTAAAACAAACCGATCTGACGACGGTTTGGGTGTGGTAGTTAATTCTCGTACTGTATTGCAAATTCCTTTACTTTTATTGCCATGATTATTTACTTTGTTTAAATAGTATTGCGATTTTGAATCTTTTAAGAGTTTCTCATACGTCTGATTATAAGTTTTAAAACTATCTTTATATTTTATATCGTTTTGGGAGGTTTCCCATGGTTATTTGAAGAGCACTCACCCTGTTCCTGAGCCGATCCAATTCTGGGGTAACCCAAGGAGGTTTTTATTTCCCGCAGCTCGCTTTTTTATCCTCAGAGGAAAATAGTAATTGAAACTGCTTTGTATTATCTGAGAAAATATGTCCCACTTTTTGTTTACGTTGACACTACTATAAATTTCGTTCCATGATGCTGATTTTAGATCTTGTAGAAAACTATTTATATGTGAGTTAGAAAACACTCTAATCAATTTGGATTCATGATCGATATTGATATTGAGTGAAAATAGGGTATGTTGCCCTTTATGGTCAGAAAAAAGTGTATCAATAATCTTAAACTGAAAGTTCACATTTGTGTTAATGAAAATATGATTGGAGTCATCCTTTACTATAGTGAAATCGGTAATAGTTGCTTTCAAACCGTAGGAATGAATTATGTCAATAAAATCTGATGATTTCCTATTTGTCACCAACAGATTTATATTAAAATCGCCGGCTATGACACATTTTTTTTTCATTATTAATCATATCAAGAATTATTTGAAGTTTCTCAAAAAACGAGTCGATTTGACCGTCACTTGGACGATATATAGAAACGACGAATAAGACAAGCTCTTTCAAGGTTATTTCAAGGGCTGCACATTCAAACCCACCGGACCGCGAAATATTGTTGAGATCTTCACGCTACCAGATGGAGCGAAAGTTACCTATACGAAACGCTCATGGAAATTTGAAAATTAAAATTCTCAATTTTTCTTCAAATCAGCACCACTTTTTTTTCACGAAAATCAATGCTACGATGCATCCCTCATATCCGGGATCGATTACATTCCGTGGCCGGAGCATATTAAGCCTACCAGGAGGAGCAAAACTTATCTATACGAAACGCACATGGAAACTTGAGAATTAAAATTCTCAATTTTTCTTCAAATCAACCCCACTGTTTTCACGAAAATCAATGCTACAATGCATCCTTCATATCCGGAGTCGATTAAATCTCGTGGCCGGGGCATATTATGCGTACCAGAGGGAGCGAAAGTAACATATACCAAACGCACACCAATCACGATCCCGGATATGAAGGACGCATTGTAGCATTGATTTTCCTGAAAAAAAGTGGTGTTGATTTGAAGAAAAATTGAGAATTTTAATTTTCAAGTTTCCATGTGCGTTTTGTATAGATAAGTTTTGCTCCCCCTGATAGGCTTAATATGTTTTGGCCACGCAATGTAATCGATCCCGGATATGGAGCATGCATTGTAGCATTAATTTTTGTGAAAAAAAGTGGTGTTGATTTGAAGTAAAATTGAGAATTTTAATTTTCCAATTTCCATGTGCGTTTCGTATAGTTAACTTTCGCTCCCTGTGGTAGGCTTAATATGCCCCGGCCACTGAATGTGATCAATCCTGGATATGAAGGATGCATTGTAGCATTGATTTTCGTGAAAAAAAGTGGTGTTGATTTGAAGAAAAATTGAGAATTTTAATTTTCAAGTTTCCATGTGCGTTTCGTATAGATAAGTTTTGCTCCCCCTGATAGGCTTAATATGTTTTGGCTACGCAATGTAATCGATCCCGGATATGGAGCATGCATTGTAGCATTAATTTTTGTGAAAAAAGTGGTGTTGATTTGAAGAAAAATTGAGAATTTTAATTTTCCAATTTCCATGTGCGTTTCGTATAGTTAACTTTCGCTCCCTGTGGTAGGCTTAATATGCCCCGGCCACTGAATGTGATCAATCCTGGATATGAAGGATGCATTGTAGCATTGATTTTCGTGAAAAAAAAGTGGTGTTGATTTGAAGAAAAATTGAGAATTTTAATTTTCAAATTTCCATGTGCGTTTCGTATAGGTAACTTTCGCTCCCTCTGGTAGGCTTAATATGCCCCGGCCTCGAGATTTAATCGATCCCAGATATGAAGGATGCATTGTAGCATTGGTTTTCGTGAAAAAAAGTGGTGTTGATTTGAAGAAAAATTGAGAATTTTAATTTTCAAGTTTCCATGTGCGTTTCGTATAGATAAGTTTTGCTCCCCCTGATAGGCTTAATATGTTTTGGCCACGCAATGTAATCGATCCCGGATATGGAGCATGCATTGTAGCATTAATTTTTGTGAAAAAAAGTGGTGTTGATTTGAAGAAAAATTGAGAATTTTAATTTTCAAATTTCCATGTGCGTTTCGTATAGGTAACTTTCGCTCCCTCTGGTAGGCTTAATATGCCTCGGCCACGAGATTTAATCAATCCCGGATATGAAGAATGCATTGTAGCATTGATTGTCGTGAAAAAAAAAAGTGGTGTTGAATTGCAGAAAAATTGAGAATTTTAATTTTCAAATTTCCATGTGCGTTTCGTATAGGTAACTTTCGCTCCCTCTGGTAGGCTTAATATGCCCCGGCCACGGAATGTAATCGATCCCGGATATGAAGGATGCATTGTAGGATTGATTGTCGTGAAAAAAAAAGTAATTGATCCCGGATATGGAGCATGCATTGTAGCATTGATTTTCGTGAAAAAAAGTGGTGTTGATTTGAAGAAAAATTGAGAATTTTAATTTTCAAATTTCCATGTGCGTTTCGTATAGGTAACTTTCGCTCCCTCTGGTAGGCTTAATATGCCCCGGCCACGGAACGTATTCGATCCCGAATATGAAGGATGCATTGTAGCATTGATTGTCGTGAAAAAAAAAGTGGTGTTGATTTGAAGAAAAATTTAGAATTTCAAATTTCCATGTGCGTTTCCTATAGATAAGTTTTGCTCCCCCTGGTAGGCTTAATATGCCAGGCCACTGAATGTGATCAATCCTGGATATGAAGGATGCATTGTAGCATTGATTTTCGTAAAAAAAATTGGTGTTGATTTGAAGAAAAATTGAGAATTTTAATTTTCAAATTTCCATGTGCGTTTCGTATAGGTAACTTTCGCTCCCTCTGGTAGGCTTAACATGCCCCGACCACGAGATGTAATCGATCCCGGATGTGAAGGATGCATTGTAGCATTGATTTTGGTGAAAAAAAAGTGGTGATGATTTGAAGAAAAAGTAAGAATTTTAATTTTCAAATTTCCATGTGCGTTTCGTATAGATCAGTTTTGCTCCCCCTGGTAGGCTTAATATGCCCTGGACACGGAATGTAATCGATCTCGAATATGAAGGATGGATTGTAGCATTGATTTTCGTGAAAAAAAGTGGTGTTGATTTGAAGAAAAATTAAGAATTTTAATTTTCAAATTTTCATGTGCGTTTCGTATAGGTAACTTTCGCTCCCTCTGGTAGGCTTGATATGCCCCGACCACGAGATGTAATCGATCCCGGATATGAAGGATGCATTGTAGCATTGATTTTGGTGAAAAAAAAGTGGTGATGATTTGAAGAAAAAGTAAGAATTTTAATTTTCAAATTTCCTTGTGCGTTTCGTATAGATCAGTTTTGCTCCCTTTGGTAGGCTTAATATGCCCCGGCCACGGAATGTAATCGATCCCGGATATGAAGGATGCATTGTAGAATTGATTTTCGTGAAAAAAAGTGTTGTTGATTTGAAGAAAAATTGAGAATTTTCATTT